AGCCTGCCACACATCTAGCCTAGGTAACTCATTCCCACACTACAGACCTATGCAGAACATTGCCACATTGAATACTGTAAGCCACAGGGACTTAAACTGTAGACTGTGACCCCCTATGAGGTTGTATAAGTGATTGTGTGTGGGGGGATGTGGGGGGGGAGGAGTGTGGGGGGGATGTGGTAACTGTAACGGCTAAATCGAAGGTGTGCCTGGCACTGCTTGACCCTGTTGTATCACAGGACTTCAATGCAACCTTGGTTCTGACACACAACATAGGCAATTTGTATCTCACAGGCTATCACATCACAACCACAACAGGCACTGCACCAGCTCAGATTTGACACTATTGTATACTATAACTGCAGAAACATAATGGCTTAACTAGGAAACAAGGACTTAATATTTTCCTACCATCACTGCTTTTCAAGTTAAGCATCAAATCAATTTACCTCTGGAAGGAGTATGCTAGAATGTTTGACTTTTAAAATTGATGCTTGAGTTCCTGGCTTGTGTTTTGAAGGGAGGGAATATTCAGTGAATTTACCTTGGGATTAGGGCAGAATTTTCAACAATTTCTTTTTCTTTTTGCCTAAGATTTAATTAGTTACATAAAAATAAATAAGCCTATCCTTCTAATTATTATGCAAACTGCTTTTGTCTTTAATAGGTGATAAATCCAACTTATAACCAAGGAATTATTTTAAAATAAATTGTACAATGTACAAACAGTAAATGTTTGATTTGTGTACCTATTTAATTCACCTATATATCTGGGGTCCTATAATGTTTCTCAGGCAAAAAGGGGCCAGAAGTAGAACCACCTTAAGCTGTTCTGCTAAAAACAAGTACAATACGAGAGTCTACATGCATGGGAGAGTGTTGGAAGAGTACAGTAAAAATGAGGCAACAGGATTTCTTGGCTTTACTTTAACCTTCTGGGACAGGCAATCCATCACTGACCAGGATGTCATTATGTAGCTCATGAGTGCAGTCAAGGGGACAGGTGTATATCCCTACAGGTGTACATCGCCACCTTTTCGTTATACCAAGGAAAGATACTGATCTCTACAATCATGGCTTTAGTCTCCTCACCATGCCTTAGGGCGGGAAGGAGCTCACACTTGAACACTTCTATGCACATTTTTATTTTCTAGGTCTATTTTATAATTTTAATCTTTAGGTGTATGGGTGCTTCGCCTACATGTATGTCTGCACCATGTGCATACAGTACCCAAGAGGCCCAGAAGATGGCATCAGGCCCTCTGGAACTGGAGTTATAGGTAGTTGTGAGCTGCTGTGTAGGTGTTGAGACTCAAACACCGGTCCTCAGCAAGAGCAAGTAGTGCTCTTAACCTCTGGGCTATCTCTACAGTCCTCTGTGCATGTATGCTAACGTCTATTTTCTGTTAGGTTGTCAGCTCAAGCAGGGTGCCTTAGGATTCCCTCTGGAGTTTTGTCTGATTTTGGAAGTGTCTTTTTTCTCTGTTTCTCTTTTGGGCGGCTGGGTATTACACTTGGGGTGTTCCACACGTCCTTCAACTGCTCTACCACTGAGCTACATGCATTCTCAGTCTTTACATTTATTACCTATTTCTAATCTTATGTAAGAATCCTTGTGGAAGCCAGGTGGTGGTGGCAGCGTGCGCCCTTAACCCCAGCACTGGAGAGGCAGGGGAGGGCAGATCTCTCAGAGTTAGAGGCCAGCCTGGTCCACAGAGGAGTTCCAGGACAGCCGGGGATACACAGAGAAACCCTGTCTAGAAAAACAAAAACAAACAAACAAAAGAATCCCTGTGGCTGTGGTGGTACACAACTTTTAGTACCAGTACTCTGGAAGCAGAGGCAGGTGGCTCTCCACGAGTTCGAGGCCAGCCTGGTTTATACATGACGTTCCAGGCCAGCCAGGGCTATTAAAACCATGTCTCCAAAATTAAAAAGGAATCCCACACTTCACATTTCCTTACCTTTTTTTCTCCCAGAGAATCTTTTGTGAAATGCGTTTTCTGGGGTGATATAAAGCCATTTAAAAAAATACAGAAATCAACACATTTTAGAGAGGATTCGTTTTCATTTCCACCCTTGATAAGAGCACAGGCTATAAAGTTCCAATGGAAATTAATTCTATCTAAACAGGGCCCGACTACACTGGCTGAGAACCTTTCAGCAGAGAGAGAGAGACAATGGCTTCTTTTGCAGGCAGAAGCAGCAGAGCCAAAAGTCAGACTCCCGTCCATTTGTCTTAATCCACTCCCTAGCTAGCCAGGACTACTGAAGAGAAACAATTCTCAGGCTCTTTGCCAGAATCAGGACTTGTAGCAACAAAGAAGGATGTGGGTCAACTTGATTTCCAAATTCTTGGACAATAAGAACCGTGTGCATTGAAGTGGACGCACTGGTCCCACTTATCGCGTGAAAATAGCCATCTAGTCCATTTTTTATGATAATATTAAAGAAAACAACCGACCTCCTGTTCGGCTTGAGAACAGGCTATCTGGTCTCTCCGTCCTTGTAAACAGCTTACAAAGAAAGGGTTTTAAACACTAAGAGTTGCTTGTTAAATGAAAGAATTCTCATACTTGATTTGCTGTCTTTTGATATATATATAAATAACTGTTTTTTTCACATCTTTCAAGTCAAGTCACATTTAAATTAAATATATATTTAATCTCACAATTTTCAGTCTGACCCATACGCTCTCAGGTCACCCCAACTAGAAAAATTTTAAGAGACACCATGAACTAAGAATTTAACATCTTCTGAGCAGCATGCCCAGCTCTTTAAAGAGTTATTTATTCCTCCTACCATCTCCATAATGTAAACAAATTTCAGAGACTGTATCCAGGAAGCAGAAGGGATGAGACGAAGAATGTACTAGTTACCTGTCCGCTGCTGTGACAAAACACCCGACAAAGGCCGCTAAAGGAAGGGTTCATCTGACTCAGCGTGAGGGCACAGTCCATCAAGGAAGGGAAGTCATGCCATGATGTGGGAAGTCCTGTGATTATGTCAATAAAGCACTGCTGGCCAATAGGAATCTAGATAGGTGGGACTAGGAGTCTAGGAGAACTCTGGGAAGGAGAAACACAGGAGTCAAGATGTAACGCCATGGGGTAGGAAGCCCGGAAACCTCTCCGGTAAGAGAAATACTTAGATTAGCAATTATGGGATAAATACTTAAGTCAGAGCTAGCCAGTAAGAAACAAGCAAGGCCAACAGCTTCATAATTAATATAGCCTCCTGTGTGTTTATTTGGGACTGATGTGGCTCTGGAACCAGGCCGGCGGGAAGGCTTCTCTCAAGAAAAAGACTTCCCTTTACAATGCCAACAGCAGCAATGTCAGCGTGAGGGCACAGTCTATCAAGGAAGGGAAGTCATGCCACCAGCAGCAATTACATTGCATACATGGTCAGGAAGCAGAGAGAGGAAAATTGACGCTCGGTTTCTATCCCCCTGGGGTCCCTGTTCTTGAATGGGACCCTCCATGTTGAACATGGCTCTCCCCACATCAATTAACCTCATGGAGAACCTTCAGGAAGACATGTCCAGACATTGGTTTCTATGGTGATTCTAAATCTAGATTAGTCATCACAGGGAATAACAGCTAAGGGTTATGTCTGGATCCACAGCTTCATGCTGAGTTTGTAGGACCATTCACCAAAACCAACCTTAGCACAATTTATTTAATTATTTATCTTTATGTATGAGTGCTCTGCATGTATAAGTGCAGGCCAGAAGAGGGCATCATCGGATCCTATTATAGATGGTTGTGAGCCACCATGTAGTTTCTGGGACTTGAACTCAGGCCCTCCGGAAGAGCAGGCAGTGCTCTTACCCCCGAGGCATCTCTCCAGCCCCTTAGCACAACTTTTAAGATCTACATTTGTGCCAACAGTGGTGGCACATACCCTTAATCCCAGCACTCCCAAGACAGAGTCAAGCAGATCGATGTGCGTTCTCTGGAAAAACAAACAAACAAACAAACAAGATCTGCATTTGTTAGCAACATTGTGCAGATCTGGAGTCAGTCCATACCTTTTGGTTTGTTTGTTTGTTTGTTTTTGGAGACAGGATTTCACTGTGTAGCCCTGGCCATCCTGGAATTCACTCAGTAGACCAGGCTGGCCTTGAACTCACAGAGAAGCCCATTTTCTTGGAAGCCAAGTGCTTTTCATTCAGGCCGATGATCCTGCTTGGCCTTTAAATCTTGTCAGTCATCAGCCCGTGGCCCCAGACCAGCTGAGGACCACACTGAGTGGTCATTCTGCTCTACTTGTCCTCTCCCAAGCATGAGCACAATTCCAAAATGCCTTGGGGCAAACCAAAAGGCGGAGCTTTGACTGAAATCCACGGACATCTGGTTCTGCCACTTCTATAGCCCCCACGTTTACAGTATAAATATCCACCTCCCCTGAATGACTGAGACCAGCAAGTGAGATAGGAAAAGTGCTTTCTGAACAAATCAAGTATCTTCAGGAGTAAAAATGTTTGATTTATTCTTCTAAACAGTGCCTGGTGTGGAAACTATAGTGGGTATTCACTAGGTCCAAGCATCCAGACACTGTTTGGTGGGTGTACGGCTCTTACTGACCAAATGCTCCCAGGGAACACCTGGAGCCTTTATCAACGGACCAAACAGTGCAGGCAGCAGGTACATGCCCGGAGGGAGGTCTGAGGATCCGATCTTGGGAGAGTTCTGTTGCTTGGTTTTTGTTTCATAATATTTGGGCTCCATTTATGACTAAAGCATGACTTTCCCTGGTAATAAGTAACTAGTGGCTAAGATTAATTGCCCAATTTTAATTACATTTGTTTTGCATGCCACATGTTGTAAGCTAGCCACCAGGGTGCTAACCAGGGCAAGGAATATGTCGCTGCTCTAAGAGTTTTAGTGTCTATGTACTTTACCATGCCCAAAACATAGGGCTCTAGCCTTCCAAAACTATCTTGCCCTTAAAAATGACAATTATATCACAGAGAACCCCCCAGACACAGCTCTTACACCAGGTCAGCCATTTCTGCTTCTTGAGGCATCAGACTCCATTTTGAACTTAAGTTTCCTTTTTCTGCTTTCTGGGCTCTCTCATTTTCTCCATTGTATTCATTCAGAGAGAGAGAGAGAAAAAAAAACCATAAATGTCATTTCATAGTCTAAGCAATTTGCTATAGGCAACTACACCATTACTTTGTACAAATAAATTTACATAAATCATTATTAGAATGCTCTATCTTGGCAACACTATTTGGTTCCCAGAGCACAAATTAAATGCATGCTTAAACTGGAATATTTTAAAGTTATTCCTATATTGTTTATGAGACAAGATTAGAAATGTCTACCTAATTTTTCTTCCTTTTTCTTTGTACATCTACATATGTGACTTTCCGGGGGGGGGGCATTTCTTGAAGCAAGCAATATAGACATATGGCTTGTTTTCCTGCCATTGGCCCTTCTGAGTCCATGTTTTTGGTTCTGAACAAGGACTAGGGAGGACCAAGGGAAATGACCACACAGTCCTCCAAGTAAATAGCACTTTGTTCGACAGCATTCTATAGGTTATTTGGACTGTGTTGACTGTGGTTAGGACATTTTTTTCCAGACAGACATAGCCCAAGCTGGTTTTGAATTTGCCATGTAGCCGAGGAGAGGTCCCAGTTTATGTATACTTTGGATTGAACCTAAGACTTTATACATCAGGTGGGCGTTCTACCAACCAAGGTGTACCTCCAGCCCCTGACATATTTTTCCATTGTATATTTTGTTTACATTTTTTTTAGTTTGTGAACATGTATGAGTGTCTGTGCATATGTGTGCAGAAGCAAGGAAGTCGGAATAGGATGTTGGGACAACAGAACTGGAGTTATAGGCAGTTATGTGCCTCCATGTGGGAGCTGGGAACTGAATCCAGGTCATCTTACAGAGCAGTAGTGCTCTTTTTTGTTTGCTTGTTTTTGTTGTTTCTTTCTTTCTTTTTCTTTTTTCCCCTGAGATACGGTTTCTCTGTGTGATAGCTCTGGATGTCCTGGAACTTGTTCTGTAGACCAGGCTGGCCTCTAACTCACAGAGATCCTCCTGCCTCTGCCTCCCAAGTACTAGGTTTAAAGGCATGTGCCACTACCACCAGGATGCAATAAGGGCTCTTCTCCAGCACCAACATAGTTAAGTATTATTTCTCTCTCTCTGTCTCTCTGTCTCTGTCTCTGTCTCTCTGTGTGTGTGTGTATGTGCATGCGCACGTGCATAGCATGAATGCATCATGCATGTGATGGTCACAGAACAACTTTGCAGAGTCAGTTAATCCCTTCCAACTTTCCTTGGGTTCTTAGGGTTGAATTTGGGTCATGGGGCTTACATCATTTAACAGCAAGTACCTTTATTCACCAGCCCCACAGGATGCACTCTTAAATCTTACTAAGCTACAGCTTTCCCTGGCTCAGCCAGTCAGTAAGATAGGAGCTCACATCTCCAACTTTAACCATAGTTTTTACTTCAGTATCATGCAATCCTACCAGCTTGGGGGGAAAAAAAAACATTGGCAAGATGAACTAGCTTATTCATGGTAAGCTTGAAACATTCACTTGATTTAAAGCCAAATATTTATTTGCTTTAAGATAAAATAGCTAACATCTAGTACCAAAAAAAAAAAAAAAAAAAAAAAAAAGGAAAGAAAAAAAGGAAGGAAGGAAGGAAGTTCTAAAACTTAAGGTTGGCTTTAATCTGGTGCCCATCTAGTCCAACATTTAGGTTAATCCAGGAAGCCTGGTGCCTTATTTGAAAAGCAGACTAATAGAGCATGTAGGTTCAGAAGTAAAATGGCTTCAGTGATGTGTTTAGGTTTAACTGACAGTTACAGAGACACTTGGAAAAATCCAACTACAGTGTGACTCAGTGTCTCTATCTAGAAAGTTCCTCTCACCCTCCTTTTCCTACTAGGTCTACTCTAATGGAGTCCATGTCTCAAATTTTGCAAATGCACATGTCACCCCATTGTTTAGGCCAGGAGACGGCACACTTCTGCAAAAGGTCAAACGGTAAATATTTTATGGTGTCTGCTCTGCCTGTCCTATTTTTTTCACTGTAGTACAAAAACTGCCTTGGCCATGCAGAGATGAATGAACTTGGCTATGCCCCCCCCCACCAACCAAACCCTACTTAGAGATACTAACATGTCAATTCCATTCAGGATACCCTGCAACCCCAGCTGGCCTCCAACTAGCTATGGCCTCCAGCCTCCACATCCAGGTCCTGGGATTACCGGCATGGGTCACCACACTTGACTTTGTGTAGTGTTGGGGATGGAGCTCAGGGCTTAGTGCATGCTAGGCAGTACACTGTTAACGGAGCCACATGCCCAGTCCTCCACAACATTCTTATAAGACACAAAGTGTAGTCAGTTGTTATCTTCGACTGAGTCTTGAAAAAAATGTAAAAACCTCTCTTAGCTTGTCTCATCTACGCCAATGGTGAGCTTTCTTTGGTTCATAGCTGTGTATCATTTTCATATTGGAAGAGGAGGGAGGAGAGTTACTTCTATTGGTCCAGGAGGCTGCAGCTCCTCCATCACCATGGGCCTGGGTACTTGTGCACCTCAGCAGGTCGGGGTTGGTCAAGGCATTTCTGTAGAAGACTAGGCACCTTGGTTGGTAGCTCTCAGTGGCACCTTTTAGAATTTATCAGGGTGGTGAACACATCACAGCTAAATCTTACAAATAAGCAGCATTGCCAAAGAATTGAATGTGGGCCATACACACTATTCAACCTACAGATTACTCGGGGTGTCTGGCTCCCCATTCTTAGCTGCGGCTCCCATTTTGACCTTGAGATTGTCGCTGAAGTCAGGTTTTTGGAAGCATCTACAGACAATCCCCACATGGACTTATAAATTCATGTTCTTCACTTGTATTTCCTAACCCTTAGATCTCATTTCTTAGCTCCAACTGTCACCTTTGAAGGTCAGGCGCTGGCCTCGCACAGCATCTGTTCCATCTAGGGCCTCATTAAGCTGTGGGTATCCCAAGCACTTGGAGGATGGAGGGGTGGGTTTGCAAGAGAAGAGTAAATAATAATGCATACAGGCACAGAAGCAGAAAGACCACCATGCTAACACTGTACATCAGTGGTCACAGTCCTGGGAGAGATGATACCAGGCAAGCCCCCCCTCTGTCACAGGACAGGGGTTCCCCAGGTGGCTTACTCTAGAATCTCAAGCAGCCCAGGCATTGAGAAGTCCACTTTGGTTGGGACAGAGGATCAGGGATGAAACAGCCAGCCCTGCATCAGCTGGGCTCACTGAGGGCTCAGTCCTGTCTTCCTGCTGAAGTGTTAGCCAAGAGAGCCTTAGAGATGAAGCCACCTGAGGCCCCTTTAGGTTCACAAGTTCCTTAATAACTATTTCAACCTCAAATTTGGAAGTTTGTGGGTTCCTCAAAGCAGAGCCCTATACTTAGTGCCCAGCCCCCACCCTAATAACTATTTCAGCCTCAAATCTGGAAGTCTGTGGCTTCCTCAAAGCAGGGGCCTATACTTAGTGCCCAGCCCCCACCCCAAACTGAGCCCTACCCCCTGCCATTCTCTCATGACCAGAGTTGTGACCCTGGCAATCCTGAAAGATCTCTGGGGATAGAAAACCGTTTCATGTTCTTCATCCCCATCCATCTCAGGTGCACAAAACAAATAATAGTCTCCTCTGGACACAACCAACTTGCTCAACATCAGAAGGATGACGACAATTATGCATTCTGGGAAAGAAGGTAATTTAGAGGCACTAGTTAGGCACTCGTGTGTCTCCATATGGAAATTCCAAGCAATGTCCAGGTGGTATTGGGGGTCTAAGATGCACAGCAGAATTTTAAATGAAGGTGTGAATCAAGACTTTTTTATCACCTTAATGCCTAACTTGGACTGACCACATTGTCAGTCTGGTCAGCTGTGCAAACTGGTCATTAAGAAGATTGGGTGAAGGGTAACAACAGAAGGAGAACCAACCAACTTGGTATTTGCACTTAAATATAGCTTCGGTATTTCATTGATTCCATGCAATCTATTAAGGCTTGGTGGCTAGGGAAGGGCCACCAGAGTGTGATTTACCTGAGTCTGAGTGGGTCCAGGAAACGGAGGTCAGCATCGCTCCAGAAAGGACAGAGGTGCCTTCATAATCACTAGACGACACTTTTAGAGGCTGTTGGAGTGGAGCAGAAGGGAGACAGGGTTAGCGTACAGAAGTAACAAGTCCTCTCAGCCACCGTGCACGTCCTCTCTGGCCTGACCCTGGAAATTGACACACTTCAGTGAAAAGCCAGTTGTCACAGTGCCTCTCAGGTCTTGGATAGTGAAGGAGTCAGGCCTTCAGGATGGAGTGATTTTGAAACTGCTTCTAGGGGACAAGAGTGCCCAGAAATTTGAAAATAGATGCAATAGACATTGTGAGGTTATTCGATTCATTACAAAACCACCCAGACATTCTTGAGATCATTTTTCTTTCCTCTGAAAACACGAGTCTGTCTAACTGTCAGAGGCTACCGAGTGTTTAAGACCAGCCTTGATCCACTGCAAGTCTGCAAAGTCAATGACTCCTTCATGGTAAAATGTAGTTCCTCTATTTCTAGTGCTAAGAACTACCTCACTCAACCCACAAGTTAGTGGGTCACGGTTAATAACACTGGGCAATAAAAAAGTTGGTACATGAGATAGACTGCATAATGATTTTCACTGGAAGACAATTTTTGGCATCGAAGGCCTTGAAGAATGACGAATCAATAGGTTCTCTAAGAAAAGAATGATATTGTCCTGAGAGGGTTGGTGTGAGCATGTTAGAAAATGATCATTACAACAGTGGCTGTCAAACAGGTCCTTGGAACAGCAGCCTCTCTCTCTCTGGTCTTTGCTACAAAGACAGAAGTCTTAGCTCTGATCCAGGTTCTACAGACAGAATACTGGGAGGAGAGGGACACGGAACAGCACTTCCACTTCCATGAGCCCTCAAATGCCTGAAACCTTAAATCATCGTTCATCCACTAACACAAAGGCATTGGTCCAACCATAAGATAAAGCTTTACCTTACTCTACTTCATGCTTAAAACATAATTAAAGACAGACACTGAGAATGGATTGGAGAGGGAGGAAGAAGAAAGGGGAAGAGATTCTCTGAAATGTACTACCCACTCGGGAAGACACAAGCATGATATGCCCGGAGTGTCATTGTGTTGGTTAGAGGGCTCTGGGGAAGACATTGGTTGTCTAGTTGGGATTAGGATCAAGTTAGAGGTTGATCATTAAGACAATGATTAGAATGGGGGTATGTGGCAGGGAGATGGTTCAGTGGGCTAATGTCTGGGGCCCTGGGTTCAACCCTATGTAAAGAGCTGTGATCTATGTAAAAAAAATGGAAGCAGTGCTGGGCATCTGTGCACCCAGCACTCCTACTGAGAGAGTAGGCAGACAGCAGACCTGCCTAGCAGCTCTTAGGCTGGTGAGCCTGGAGTGTGCTACACAGCAATAGAAACAAGACAAAGGCTGCCTTAAGGTAGCCAGGCAATGGTGGCGCACGCCTTGAATCCCAGCACCTGGGAGGCGGAGGCAGGAGCATCTCTGTTGGGCCTAAGAAAGGCTTGGATGCGAGGCCCAGTGTAAGCTCCTGAGCCTGACTTGAGTTTTGGGCTCGGATGTGAGGCCCAGTGTAACCTCCTGAGCCTGGCTAGAGTTTAGCGACCTGTCTCTAACCTGTAACCTCCACATGGGGGTGACACAGCCAGATCTGATGCAAGATTGCCCCCTGCCTAGCTATCTGCCTGCTTGGTGGAATACTATTGGCCCTTAACTCCTCACATCACCTTACCCTATCCCAAGATTCCCATCCCCTACCTCAGTCCTATGTAAGTTCCTGTGTGTTGGAATAAATCGAGATCCTGCTTCGACAGACTCCCGACTAAGTGTGTGTGTTTTCCCCAGTAACTGATGAGGGGAGGGTCTGAGTCGTCGACACTCACCATCCCGCTCAGCCCCCCGGGAAGAGGCCGGCTGGACCGGCCCTTCCCCCGCTCTACCTGCAGGGAGGACCCTACACATCTCTGTGAGTTCAAGGCCAGTCTGGTCTGCAGCTCTCGTTCCAGGACAGGGCTACATAGTGAAACCCTGACTCAAAACAAACAAATACATAGAGGTGAAAGGGGCAAGAACCAACTCCAGAAAGATGTTCTTTGACTTCCAATACACCCATGCACATGTACATACACACACACACACACACACACACACACACACACACACACACACATCAAATAAATACTTTTTGAAATATCAGAGTCAGGGTGCTGGGCTGTTAGTGCAGTTGACAGAATGCTTGCCCAGTACCCATGGAGCTCTGGTGTGATCCCCTGCACTGTGTAAAACCAGACGTGGTGGCACATGCCTGCAGTCCTATCACTCAGGGAATCGACATAAGAACAGAATTTTAAGGCCATTCTTGGCTACAAATCAAGTTGTAGGCTATCCTGAAACACATGAGACCTTGTCTCCAAGAAATAAATTAAATTTTAAAAAACAACAACTAGGTTGGGTCAGGCAAAAACAGGCCATGCTCTGATACAGAGGAACCAGGTTTGGCTGATAAACGAAAAACTTCATGGTCTGAGTGGATCAAGGTCAATTCCAAATACTGAGAGGTGATATCAAGGGGTCCATGGCTTCTAATTCACAAGGAAAGACTACTCAGACTATACCCTGGGCTTAGAAATCCATGTCCTGTGAAATGACACTTGAAGATTTCTATACCCAGCTTACTTTTCAGGTTTTACTTTCTAGATTTGCTGTTCTGCATTTTCCACAAGGGAGTCTCTCAGTTGCTTCAAGGACTCGAAACTTACCGTCTGCCCAGGAGATAGAGCACACACACACACACACACACACACACACACACACACACACACACACACACAAATGCCACTGCAGTTCTGGGTGTTTTTGCAAAGGGGCAACATATATTATCACACCTCAAAGACCTGCTACTTTCTTGGTTTTAACATTATGACTGTGGTGTACACACGTCCTCCCCAAAGCGGAACTTATAACTGACCTCCCCAGTTGGAGGAGTGGGACTTCATGCTCAATGACTGTTCTAGCTTCTAGAACACAGACATAAGTAGAAATGTGTCATGTCTCCATTTCTTGATGTTGGTATTTGACGGTGGGATCTGGATGCCACACCAAGGCTTCAGTTGAAATTTAAAAATCAGAATTAGCAATATTTTCTTGCCCATTACAACTCTTCCTTCTAGCCAGGCAAACTGTATGAACAAGGTCGGATCCCCTAAGTCTCACTTTATATTTTTTATATAAAAGAACATTAGGAAGGATGTGGTGGCTTACTCTTATAATTCTGTGAGACTGAGGCAGAAGGATTAGCAGATAAATCACTTGTCACCCAAGCCTGACAAGTTCAGTCTTGAGAAGCCACATAAAGAAGTCAGCTGTGGTGGCATACATCTACAATCCCAGCACTCCTGCAGGGAGATGGGAAGCTAAGAATCTGCAGTCAGCAGCCAGCTGCAGAGACAAGAGATCCTCCCTCTACACAAGATGGCAGGAGAGAACTGGCTCCCAGGAAGTGGTCCTGTGACCTCTAGACATGCCCCGTGACATATATGTCCAACAAACAAATCCTTTTTAAAAAGAATAAGAGAGAGACTTGACCTACCCTGCCTTTGTTCAAGTTGGGATAAGAAAACTGAGATGAAGCTGCTGTTGGTGCATAGCACACAATCTCACACAGGCACGTGGAACTCTACTCTTTATATGAGACCTTGGGTATTAATTAACGACACGGTATTACACTAGCCTTTGAAAATACAAAACTCAAATCTTCCATATGCCCTCAAGACTCCTTAAATGTTTGCAGATAGAGCAGTTCTAAAGAACAGACTTGGCATCAGCCAAGCCGTTCTCCCTAGAAACAGTTCAAGGTAAATTCTTCCCTAAGATAATTTTTTTTCAACAAATGTTATCCCTCTGACCACAGCCAGGTATCCAGTTATCTTTCCGCAGCTTCTGAGGGCACAGCTCAGCCTTCAGCAACACCGACATATACGATGGTGATAATTTATCGCCTCTGCAGTAGTTTAGTCCCAGATGGACCATTTACTAATTTATTTCCATATGTAACTGACAGAGAGATTAATCAGGCTTCCAACTCAGAAACCTGAATTGTGCTCTACTCCCCAAACAGGCTAACTCTGGACAAGAGGAAGCCCACGTTTACACTGCAAGCTTTCCTTGGAAGCTGCTGACACATGCTCACACACACACACACACACACACACACACACACACACACTCACTTCCTAAGACAGGCCTGACTCTGAGTCTTATGGGCAGCAACGTCTGATGTAACTATGGGCAGACATGAGCCCAGAAACAAACCAAATGCCACAAACAGCCCCAGTATCAGCCTCGTGTCCCTCCCTGTTTGCAAGGTCGGAGTCTCGGATTTCAGAGACTGAAGACCTCTTTTTGTCACAGCACTGTGACCAGCTGGCTGGCACAGCAGTGTCCAGGCCCTGGGAAGTGTGAGCTTTCTTTTTCCCACTCTTTTTAAGGGTCTGAACTTGACTAAACTCTGCAGCTGCTGTGTCCTACTGGAGGGGACAGCTAAGAGCTGTAAACTGTCCCCCTCAGCTGACTTTTGTTTTTAATTTTAATCCAGTGATACCAGCCTTCAACAAAGAGTTGACTAATGGTATTGTTGGATGAGTGTTTGCAGAGGGAGCCAGTCCAGATGTAAGAATCACTGGCAGTGCATGATGGAACCCAAGACCACGTCTTCAAAGGCTCTACAGACAGGACCCTGCCCCTGGGGGAAAGTCCCTTAACACCTTGGCTAAATATTCTTCCCACTGATTCTGGCATGGTGACACCTACCTATAACCCCAGCACTTAGAGGCAGGAAGATGGTGAGTTCAAGGACAACCCAGGCAACATAGTGAGTCACTACCCCAACCAAAAAAAAAAAAAAAAAAAAAAAAAGAAAGAAAAAGAAAGAAAAATTGAAACAAAAGAAAAAATGTTCTCTGCTCTCATATGAGGAATTTTGCCCTATGGAAGCCTTTTATCTATATAGTCTTAGGACTTTATGAAAAGAAGAAAAACAATCAGTCACTTGTTACTATGTTTAGCTGGTGCCAAGCA